AGTCCACATGTGTTTTGTGGACTTGGAAAAGGCCATGTCCCTTGCTTTAGAGAAAGCTCAGACAAATTACTGCCACAAATTCCATCCATCCAGCAAATACATACCTTTCACAGATATTTACTTCCATTCATTTTCTGAACAGCTGGGGTCATGGGGGACTGGATCCTATCACAGAAAAAGAATAAGAAAATCTACTCAATGGAAAAAATTAAAAAAGTAAACTCCGAATGAAAGGCTTTTATTATTATTTTTTCTTAATTTTTTATTGATGATAAGGTGAAACCAAAGTCTTAACTATACAAGAATAAATTCTTTAAGTTGTACTAATGAGAATATATAAACAATTATATAATCGTTAAGCACTAAGAGATGCATGCTTCTCGTTGCATTTGACAAAGAATATTTTCAAATTTTGTAAATAAGTAAAGTTGATTTTTCAAATATTCATTACTTTTAAATGGCTAGTTTTACTTAAGGCACGGTGGTGTGGTGGTTAGCACTGTCACCTCCCAGCAAGAGGGTTCTGGGTTTGAATCCCGGGGGAACCAGGACCTTTCTGGGTGGAGTTTGCATGTTCTCCCTGTGTCTGCGTGGGTTCTCTCCGGGTTCTCCGGCTTCCTCCCACAGTCCAAAAACCTGCATGTTAGGTTGATTGGAGATTAGGAGTGAAAATGAGTGGTTGTTTGTCCTTGTGTGGCCCTGCGATGGACTGGCGGACTGTCCAGGGTGTACCCTGCCTCTCGCCCGTTGACCACTGAGATAGGCTCCAGTTCCCCCCGACCCCATCAGGGAATAAGCGGTATTGATAATGGATGGATGGATAGTTTTACTTAATACTTAACTCGCAATAAAATTGTCATATATGTTTGTAATAGCACAAGTTCTCTTCTAGGGGAAAAGAGGCCAAATAATCAACCATCAAACCACTTTTTAAGATTTATCCATCTTAAAAAGTGGGTCGCCAAGAAAACCAGATTGGGAAACACTTGGTTAATTCACAAGTTGGGAAGCTTTCTTAAACGTGTTCAATTGTGGAAATGTGGAAACATTTTTCTATGGAGAGACACAATATACTCTCAGATCTGGAGAAAATACCACTTAGATATTTTCTTCAAAATTGAATGACGAAAGGAACGTTAATGAGACGATCAACTTCTTAAAACTTTATAAATATATTCCTGCAAAGAGGAAGAGTAGTAAACTGGGGTAGTTTTAAAGTCATGAGTGAGATAAATATGAAAAATATAGATACAAGTAAACAAATAAATTAATTAAATTTAGAAATTAGTAACTGTATTATTAATTCGGCTAAAGTATTTATTCCTAGAAGTAGTGGTTTAAAAAAAAAAACAGAAAATAGTTCCTTGGTGGACACCAGAATGTTCAACAGCAATTAAACAGCGGAATAAGGCTTTTAAAACACTTAAGAAAACCATTTGCTTTCAAAATCTAATTAATTATAAAAGGAAACAGGCAGAAGTTAGGAAAACTATAAGAAATGCTAAAAGGGATTATTGGAGGAAATATTGTGAGTCTTTGGGGAAAAATACTGCTTTAGATAAAGTTTGGAATACTATTAGAAGAATGTCGGGAAATTCAAAAGAATATGTTTTCCCAGTAATAAAAGATAATGGAAATATTATAATAGACAATAAAAGTAAGGCTGAGTTATTAGGTAAAGGTTTTGCAAAGATACATAGTACAGAGAATCTAAATAACAAAGAAAAAAGAGGGCGCGAAATGACATTACGAAAGGATATTGAATTGGTCCATAATTGTCAGGATGGGTGGTTTGTTTTTTGTTTTTTTGTTTTGGAAGCCTGCCGCTTCCCACTTCCTCCACCAGATGCCGCCTAGGAGCAGAGCCCCTGGAGAAGCGTGCGGTCGAACCCGGGGACACACCTGCGGCGCATTTGCTGACGGAGGCTGGGAATATTTAAGAAGCGGCGAGCTGACACTTCCTTGCCTGAGTGTTTGTTTACCTTGGTCTCCCTGGATTCCTCCGGAGTTTTCTCTGAAGAAAAGGTTCGGTGGATCGTGTGCTTCGGACCACGGTCAGCCGCCCACTCGCTCCCCACCCGGTCTGTCTTGCCTGTCCGCCCTCCAACGGTTCACTGCCTCTCCACGCCGCCCTGGTCCCCTCCGTTCAATAAACTTTATTAGTACTTACAAACGCGTCTCCTGACTGTGTTCGTGCATGTGGGTCCGTAAACTGGAACCAAACATGACAATAATGATGTTTGTGAGGATTTTATTAACATGAAGTTTTCTTTGTTAGAATTAAATAAAGCATTGAAAAATTCCAGTAAATCTACTCCTGGGAATGATCAAATTAGTTATAGTATGTTAAATAATCTTAGTGATATAAGTAAAGAAATATTGTTGGAATTATATAATAAGGTGTGGGAGGAAGGGATATTACCTGATAAATGGAAAGAAGCCATTATTATACCCATTTGTAAACCTGGTAAAGATCCTAATTCAGCTGAAAGTTATAGACCAATAGCGTTAACATCGTGTATAGGTAAAATTATGGAAAAAATGATAAATAACAGATTAATTTATTTTTTAGAATCTAAAGGAAAAATTAAGTCTTATCAATTTGGATTTAGGAAAGGTAGAAGTACAATAGATCCGGCATTATGTCTGGAACATGAAATTAGACGGGCTCAGGTTAACAAGGAAAGTGTGCTAGCAGTCTTCCTGGATGTGGAAAAAGCTTATGATATGTTATGGAAAGATGGATTGTTGATTAAAATAAAACCAATAGGTATAAGAGATAAAATGTATAGATGGATAAAAAGTTTTTTAAATGAAAGGAGTATTCGAGTAAAAATAGGTGGGGAAATAAGTTCAAAATATCAAGTTGAAAATGGAACCCCCCAAGGTAGTATAATAAGTCCTATTCTATTTAGTATAATGATTAATGATATTTTTAGTAGTATAGATACATCTTTTGGAATCTCATTGTTTGCAGATGATGGTATTATTTGGAAGAGGGGGAAAAATATAGAGTTTGTAAATAAGAAACTACAAGAAGCATTACAGAAGGTAGAAGCTTGGGCTTTAGAATGGGGTTTTAGATTCTCAACATCTAAATCTAAATTTGTGGTTTTTACAAATAGAAAATTAAGTAACAATGTTAATCTCAAATTATATGGGGATGATGTAGAAAGGATAGAGCAAATTAAATATTTGGGTATCTGGTTTGATAAAAAACTTACATGGAAGATACATATAGATAAATTAGTTGAAAAAAGTAAAAGAATTTTGAATATAATGAGATGTTTGAGAGGAAAAGATTGGGGAGCGGATAGGAAAGCATTAAAGACAGTATATATTGGACTAATTAGATCAATTTTTGATTATGGTTGTATAGTATACAGTTCAGCTTCAATCAGTTTATTAAAGAAAATAGATAGAATACAATATCAGGCTCTAAGACTTTGTTGTGGAGCGATGAAAACTACCCCAGTTTCAGCTTTACAAGTGGAGATGGGTGAGATGCCACTGGAGCTCAGGAGAGAACAACTAGCCATAAACTACTGGGTAAATATTAGAGGACATACTGAAAGTCATCCACCATATACTACACTGCAACCTTGTCAAGAAAAAGAGAAGAAAAAAATTAATAGTTTTGGATGGACAATTATAAATAAAGTAAAAGATGTAGGAATAGATAACTTTATAATCAGTCCTGTGATTGTTATTCCGGCTATTCCATCATGGATCTTTGGACAGGCTGAAGTTGATTTAAACTTATTAAAGAAAGGGAGACAGTTAGAAAAAAAAGAGGTGGAAAATTATATAAAAAAAGAATATTCAGAATATATACAAATATATACAGATGCTTCTAAAACATTAAATGATAAAGTAGGTATAGCATTTGTAATTCCAGATTTAAATATTATGAGGAATACAAGAATAACAGATAAAGTGGCAGTGTATACAGGGGAATTAATGGCAATCTTAATGGCTTTAGAGTGGATTGAGGAAACAAGAGAGAGGGAGGTATTAATATGTTCAGATTCCAGTAGTGCATTAATAAGTATTTTAGAATGTAAGTCAGAATCAAGGCAAGACATAGTAGTGGATGTTTTGCACTCAATTTTTAGGAATAGAAATGGGGGATCTAAGGTTAAATTGGTGTGGATTCCTGCTCACATTGGCGTGATTGGAAATGAGTTGGCTGATGGTTTTGCGAAGAATGCAGTAAAAAAGGATATTGTTGATTTAAATATTAAAATAAGTAAAAATGCGGTAAAGAATATTATTAAATTGTATTTGAAAAAGAAATGGCAGGAACAGTGGGATAAAGGAAAGAATGGTAGATATTATTATAGTATTCAGAAAAAGGTTGGAGAAGTAAGGAAATGTAGTAGAATTAAAAAAGAAGAAGATATTATAACTAGAATAAGATTTGGACACACAGGGTTAAACAGCAATCTTAAAATAATTAATAAACATAGCACGGGGTGTTGTGGTTGTGGGAAGCTGGAAACAGTCCAGCATGTTTTTTTGGAATGTAATAAGTATAATCAAGAGAGAGAGAGGTTACGTAGGGAATTAGGTAGGAATAAAATAAAATTGGAGATTGGGGATTTGTTTCAAAGGTCATCTGGGGATGTGGTTTTTGCAAATATTTTCAGTTTTTTAAGAAGAACGGGTGTATTAGGAAGGATTTAAAAGATTGTTGGATCCATACTCCAATCTGGAAGGTGGCGGTAATGCACCAAAAAGTTGTTTGCCAACCGCCATAAAAAAAAGAGAAGAAGAAGAAGAGAAGAGGAAGAGTAGTAGTTACACGTATTTGACAGTGGGAGGCAGCAGTCTAAAATGTTGTGTCCAGTCTGTTGGGTAAAAAAAAGAAGAAGAATCATGCGTATCCGCTTTGAAATTATACCAAAGACTTTTAACCTCTAAAATAAGATTCATTTGCAAGATACAATTGCAATTTACAGTATCTCATATATACATCGTATAAAATTGTCACTTTTAAAATGAGCAAGCTTTGTAAAGCAGAAGAATATGAATCATATGAGATCGACGAGCAGAGTGAAGACGAGGAGAGAGCTTCGAGCAGGTAGGAAAGTCCATTAAACTATATGCTAGCTAGCTGCTACCATGTTAACTAATAAAAGGACCCTCACAAGTGTGGCAGAATTATGAGGTCTCTTCTGAAACAACCCGCTGCCAAGAAGCTAATTTTCATCACGTCGACCTCGTTGTTGTAAATAAAATCATTCGATTAAACTGAGCTGTTGAACAAGGCTAGTCAGTGTATAAAACAACTGTTTTGAACTGAATAATCATAGTGTGTTCGTGTATGAATACGTGTGAAATATATGCAAGGTCTGCGAAGTAAATGCTTCAAAAACTGTTTTTCAGTTCAGAGGATGAATTAGACGTGCTTCTAAATGGAACTCCAGATCAGAAAAAGAAGTTGATCAGGGAGTATCTGACAGGGGAAAGTGAGTCATCCAGCGGAGATGAGTTTGAAAAAGAAATGGAGGCAGAACTATCCAACACCGTCAAAGCTTTGGAGGGGTCCTGGGGTCCAGCAGCAGGTAACACATGCCCAAAAAAATATTCTTTTTTTTCAGGTTACGTTTTTCACCAATGTAGCACCTTAATAAATGTCATATTGTTTCCTTGGTTGATAAATGAGCTAACTTTTTCCTCTAGTCTTTCTTGCGCTTAATGTAAAGTTTAGCATTGAACAGATCTAATATCCTGTCTTCACTTGTTTGAACCCCCCCCAAACTGTACAAAGCCAGTCAAGCAGATGGACCGAGAGATGTGGTTGAAATCCCCTGTTGTTGCAATAAATGCTTCGGAATGTTGGGTTTGTATTTTAGCAACTATGTCAGAGATGATATCACACACCTTTTTGGGTTTCGCCCCTTGGGGCATGTAAACTGTAACTAGAAAATATCTAAAAAAATGTTGAAGGGGGGGGCATCTACTCCCTGGTCTAGGAACCCATCTTGGCCCTCTGAGGCCCTAATCAGCCCTGGGAGCGTAAGGAAAGGTCAGAGAAATTACATTTAGGCTCCCTATTCGTGGCTTTCATGTATGACAGAGAGACAATGAATGCAATTGGCTCAAGCTTAGAGGAGCCATTCCCACTGAATACAGCAGGATGTTTATGTTAATGACATTGACGACGGAGTAAGCTCATGCTTTAACCGGATGGCCATCTCCACATGGATCCATAAAATCACCAGGGACACAAGAACAGTATGGTTGAAGAAGGTGGAGGTGGAAGACAATTTACACAATGGGCACAATGGATGCAGCTGATCACCTGAGCAGAGACCCATCTCTGATTGTAAAAAACAAAACAAATTAACAAACAGGATGCTGTGTTTGTGTTCTCTGACAGACCTGTCTGTTGGACCAAGAAGTCAGGATGGGGAAGGGACTTCTCATCTTCCAAAGCCTCAAATGTATGATGATGTTTACTTTGATTCTGATTCTGAAGAGGAGGACACACCAAGTAAGAATAGTCTTGTGTGAATAATTGCTTTTACATATTATCCTCATCATAATGGTTTTGTTGAGTAAAGGTTAAAAGTTTGGCATGACTTTTTTTAGCATCTTTTGCTTAATTCTACTGCAGGCAGCTCCACAGGCCAGAGGAAGAGACAGCGTGTCATTCTAACCAATGATGAGCTTTTTTATGACCCAGAAGGGGATGAGAGGGACCAGGCCTGGGTAGATGCTATAAGGTGGACAGGTTTTCTTTTATCTCTCTTAAAACATTTATATGTTCTGTTTTTCTGTCATCGTCACTCAGGCTCTTATCTTTTTGTGCAGATATGGAAGTCACAAACAGTCACGTGCTGCACTCCAGTCACAGCCCCAAGATTTGCCAAAAAGTGATGCCATTCTAAACTGTCCTGCCTGCATGACGACACTCTGTCTGGATTGTCAGAGGTGAGGAGCAGTGCCCCTGTAATTTATTGACCACATTTCACAAATCTCATTTTCTGATCCAAGTATATTGAGTAGCTCAGTTATTTTTGATGGTTAATTAAAAGTGGTGAGTAGGAAGAGAAGAGTGTGAGTAGGATTGGCACATAACACAATACTGGACTCACAAGAAGAGTTTTTCCCCGGGTTAAAAAAACTTAAAAGATGGCCTGTCTAATTTTTGTAATGATATTTTTTTAAGTTACAAAATCTACAAAACAATAACAGGACACTAATAACCAGCATTTCCACACATTGTGTACATTTTTTTGGTAATCTTTTTACAGAACTCATATGGTTCTTGTCTTATTTGTCACACGTGGAGAAGGATAAGTACTTTTGCTGTTGCCCTGTCCTCTTTTAAGGTTTATGTCACAGCCAGCAGCAATGTTTCATTGGAGTGGCGACTTTTAAAACCAGATTGGTTGTATCAAGGAGGTTATTTTGTGAGAGCTATTCTGTGACCTGTGACTGAACTTTCAGTGTTCTTAGACAGAAAGAGGAGGAAAAAGACTCGCCCATACTTTTCCACTTGAGGTGGGAGAGAAGGTTTCTTGAGCAGCGGTTTTACCCAAGCTTGCTTGTATGAGGTAGGAAATCTGCCTGATGTCTGTGAACCATTAATCACTTGTGACTGCTGCAGTTACCATATGAGCTCTGGACTGGGAGGAATTAGTAGGAACAAGTAGTAGGACTGCTACGTGTGAGAAATTTAGACACACTGCTCTCAGTGAAAGGTGTGAATGAAGAAAATGAAGCACTATGATTTCTGCTTGCATGTGTGTTTTCAGAAGGTTCACGTGTGGGTAGTTCGATAAATTTTTTGCTTACAGCTTTATCAGTAAAAAAAAATAAGCGAAAGGTTTAGATTGGTTGCAGGTGGCGGAGGAGGAAGAGGGCTGTGTAGAGTTTTGACGATTGGAAAAATAGTTTACGAGTGATAGTTGTACTGTGAATCTTATCAGTGTTGAAAGTCTTCTTTTGCATCAGTGACACTTAATTAGAATTCTGACCATAGTACCAGTAGTTATGTTAGATCTACAGGATCTTTTGATTTGTTCCATTTCCTTTCTGCAGCCCTTAGGTTGGTTTGCAGTGAGAATATCATTAAGCCATGGAATCAAGTGATTCCAAGTGATTGATCAAGGATCAAGTGGGCTTGGTGGATAGACGACAGACTATCCAAGCAGGAGATTGGTGTGGAGCAGAGGGACTCTGTGGCCTCATCGACAGAGTGGGCCTCTGTGGCACATTTTCTTGTAAAAATTAGATCTAGGGCTTTGCCGGGTTTGTGAGTCAGAGGCCTTCAGTTGTAGTTCAAACGAGTGTATTGATAATAGAATTTTAGAAAAATTAAGGCAGTCAAGGTGGATTTGATGGACATTTCCTCCTGTCTACAAACCTGTTCCACAAAAAGCTTCCTCTTTTCCTTGGGACTACCCCACACTGGTTTCCCTTGGCACAGCCGTAAGCCTTCCCCACAATCTCTGTATGTTTAAGAGTATCTTCTGCCTTCTGAGCTGCAATTCTTCCATTTCCTCGCTTGGTTTGGTTTGGAACCACCTTACTAACCACTACATTTTTACTCCCAGCTAACAGGAGCTCTGCCCTAACAATCCATCCATCCATCATCAATACCGCTTATTCCCTGATGGGGTCGCGGGGGGAACTGGAGCGAGAGGCAGGGTACACCCTGGACAGTCCGCCAGTCCATCGCAGGGCCCTCTGCCCTAACCATTTAAACTCCTCTACTAGACTATATGCAGGGGGCTGGAGTATGCCTTTCCCATACAGTGCTAGAGTACTTAAATATCCAAGAACACCTAGCCATTTCCTAATGTAACTAATCTTTCCATTTTGTCCGTAACAGATAATTGAATGTTATACACAGATGGAGGCGACATCAACCTAGGACACAATCAAAACTACAGACATCAGAGCTTCAACTTTTCTGGAAGCCCTGGTTTATCTATTTTACCCAGTCCCAACTTCTTTCCTAAACTGCATTACCGGGTCTCTATCATTCAAGTCTGCCTGGTATCACTTACTTCTTGCTCGTAACTTTTTTCCTAATTATTGGAATATCCATCCATCCATATTCTATACTGGTTGTTTCAAACGGGGTCATGGGGAGACTGGAAGACTGGAGACAACAGGTACACCCTGGACAGGTCACCAGTCCATCGCAGTTATTGGATTGTATTTCTTTATATATTACCATTTTTATATCTCTTCATTTACCTCTGCTTATTGATATGCTTGTAGACTTGCTAGGTTTTATTTTCATACCAGCCCATTTTTTTAAGACTCAAGTATTCTCTTCAGACCTGGTACTCTTGTTGTTATTATTCATTACATATTATTCATGTAAGCCATAATTGGTGTGAGGTCCATATCCATCATCATTGTAATTGCTAAAAGAGAAATCATACACCCTGCATTAAAGGGGACATAGTATGGGAAACTAAGTTTGTAATCATTTCATTATGTACATTTGGGACTGTGGAGGGGCTATCAGCAGGCAAAGTGTGAAAAAAAAAATTACTCAGTCATACTGTTGTGGGCTGCCTCAGTCTCAATACAGGAGATAAATCAGGAAGTTTCAGGAATCGGTAGTTTACGACTTCATTAGCTCTAGCTCATTATAATATTCCAGCCTTTCACCTGCATGTTGCCACCCACCTCAGCTTATTCCTATCTGTGGCAAACGTTGTGGTAGCGTGAGCATGGTAGCGTTAGCATGCCGACGTCGGCACACCTCCCGGAAGAAGTAGGTGGATTGCCTGTGTCTCATTTGCATTTAAAGAGACAGGCACTCAAAACCGGGACTCTTTTGGCAGGGTGATTGAACTGCTATTGTGCTTCATTCTTATGGTATTTTGACCAAAGCTTGTCACAGACATTACATTAGGACACCAGGGAACTAGTTTAACTTGTTGAAATAGGGTATAATATGTCTCCTTTAATGCCTGTTTCAAGCCTCTGCCAACCTGTTGAAAAACCTGCTATACTTGGGCACAGTCTAATCTCCTGGAAATATGATCTAACTAAGTTAATAATTATTCTAAGCACCCTAAAATAATCAAATACTTTCTAAATAAGGTTATGTTGGTACGCTGAACCAAAACATTTGCTCAATCGAGGAATATAACATTCAAGTCCTTCTTCCCAAACTTTGCTGTTTGAATCGTATGCCAAATAATGCTCGTGTGTTCTAAACACCCTGTGGGTCCTGGTATAACTTGGTCATCTCTGTGCAAAAACACAAACATTTCCTGCTCATATTTAGAAGAGCGATCCCCCAGAACCCAGATATTTGCTTCTTTTCCATGGCATGTTTTATTTATTTTTTAAAAACTTTTTCTGACAACTTCCGTATTATCTGCTTTGATTACAGAGAAATGATCACTGACTACACTGTGCAATTTAAAGCAAAAAAATAATTCTCTGTCCATTCAGGCATGAAAAGTACCACACTCAGTATCGAGCCATGTTTGTGATGAACTGCACAATAAAGAGCGATGAGGTGCTGCGCTACAAAAATCAGCGCGAGATGAAACAAAGGAATAGGAGAAGTAAAAAGAAGATGGAGGTACATGGAAGGATGGAAACAGAGGAAGTTTACCACCCAGTTCAATGTTCTGAATGCTCTACAGAGGTGGCAATGTTTGATAAAGAAGAGGTCTACCACTTCTTTAATATCCTGGCCAGTCACTGCTGAAGGAAAATCAAATGGTGGTTATTTTCTTTCTTTTTTCTATAAATGCTTTCTGTAAATAACTTATTTTGTCTTTATCAGCAAATTTCACAGTATGTTACTTCTATGTTTTTGTTAGTTTAATAGACTTGCTGCAGGGTGTTTTTTTTGTTTTTGTTTTTTTCTCCATCCTGACACTATTACGAGGAATTTTATGAGCCAAACCACTTCTGAATAATTATCTTTAACAACTCGCATGGATCATATGTCATGTCTAATGAAAAAGGAAAATATGTGTCTGGTTCAGAAAGATAGTCAAATGCCCACAACCTGAAATATGTTAAAGAGAACGTTATTAGAAATGTCTCGAATTTTAATTGTACCGTCAAAATGATCTTATTAAAAAAAACTCTTCTGTTCTGTGTTATTACTCAAACTGTAACTGCACATTCTACAATCTCTAATCCTTGAAACATTTTTTCTTAAATAATCTTTTTTTTTTGTTCTCTTTCTTATTAAAATTTTCTGTTTTTTTTTTATGTGAAATTTTTTAAAATGTTTTTCAACGTGCAACGTTAGATACTTTCATATTGTTATCTCTACTTCATATATCCATCGTTTTTTGTTGTTGTACCTGCTTGTTCTAAATAAGACTGAGGCAAGAGTCTGTCCCAGCTGTCGTTGGGTAAATAAACATGCAAACTCATGTCTATTAAATTATTTTTTCTATTATCTTGTAACTTAGATCTGTCATATATCTGTCAATTGTGATGTTTGCAAGAAAGTTTAATTAAAGGATAGATTGCTTTGTTTATTGGGTAGAGGTATTTATGTATTTTCTACATGTTCCAAAACAATGGTAAGTGACACTTGTTATGAACTTTGTTATGGACTTTCTGAAGAATTCATATACACAGGGTTTAAACATGGAAAATATATTTAGGTGGATTTCCAGATGCCCATTTGTGTCTTTGCATTGAAGACATTTGCTGTGTTTACCCTGTTCCTCACTATCCAGTAAATGGTCTCATGCTTTTGTGTTAGTGTGAACAGCTAAGGCAGACAAAGGAAATGTCCACTCTTTATACTGTGTAGTGTGCTGGTCTCATGAAGCCCTTTAATTTCCTAAATAGCTGGATAGAGATATTGCACTTGTTGGAAGTTGTGAGTGAACATAATGACATGCCCATACATGGAAGAAGCCCGCCCCAGACTGCAAAGAAAATAAAAAATCGTTATTGTAGTAATATGTAAAACCTCTTGTGCACATACTGATTCCAAATAATATTTTTCATGGCGTCAATGTATCGAAATCAGCCCCGTTGTTTGTCAAAGTTTTTTCTTTAGGAAGAAAAAAATCGTAGCGTTCGCAAGGAATTGTGGGAAAGAATTATCTCCTCTGTCCGCACGTTATGGGGCAATATAGCTCCTTTTCAAACGTCTATAAGACACAAACAGTTGTTGGCTGCAAGATGAAAACTTCTGATATTTCCATCCTCTCAGTTAAGGTTCCTGAACAACACTGATAAATCCCAAAAATGTGCTGCGCCACGTCACATAATATATTTGAGTCGTCATTGGCTGAGATCTACCTCTTTATTTGACGTCACAACCTGTTGGACCATACGTTGACAAATCAAAGTGAAAAGAAGAATCGAGTCCAGGAAAGCCATGGCGCTGTTAGACTGTTGGAAGCAGTTGGCCTGGTTTTACAACCAATATCTTCTGGTTACGGCACTCTACATGTTAGAGCCATGGGAAAGAACGGTCTTTAATATCCTTTTGCTGTGAGAACGAATGAGGGTTAATATAACCTTGTATGCTATTCCCCAACTTGGGTGTCAGTGTGGCTAACTTGGCTAACAGGAAGCACTGTTAATGTTCACATTTATTTGTTATTATTTTTTGTTGGGCTGTGTTATATTTCAATTTAAAGAATCTAACAGATTAGTTTTACATTACCAGTGTGTCTGATTTTATTCGAATCAGATCATCTTTCATCAAGGTGTTCGCAGAGAAGTTCAGTTGTAGATCTCTTGACTGAACGATTGCTAAACGCTATAATTTTGTCAAGCGCAAATGTGTATTTAATGCTTACAAAAAGAACAAATTAAAGTCAGCTCTTAACTTTCAAAAGATTAGCCAAAATTGAATCAACTTATTTGGCGGAAAATGCGTGTTGTATTCTGGTTAGTTCGATACTATTATTGTGAATTGGAAAGCTTAAAATGTAAGATTAACAGTCTAATGTCTTCCTATAGGGTATTGACTTTATAATTATGTTTATAAATACATGTCCCTATTATTTAATGGCTATGATTATTTACGAAAACACTTGTTGGCTATTAATCTGAGAAGAGTCTACAGAGATGAGAGGAACTGATACATATATCAGTTAAGGGAGCTAAGTAATTGTTTCCATTTTAACCATTTTTGTTGCAGTTAAAACTGAAAATTTCACATTCATAAATCATTCCTTAACTCATCTTCTTCAGATTCTCTTCTAATCTCTGTGGCTGGCATGGCAGTATACACTGGATATATCTTTATGCCGCAGCATATCATGGCTATCTTGAACTATTTTGAGGTCCTCCAGTGAGAAGATGACCCTGGCTCTCCACTGGCTCTTCTGGCTGTCTGGTTTCCTGTGTATCTAGTTTCCATCCCACCCACTCCATCCCAGTGCCGATCTACTGTCTCCTGGGTTTACATCGCAGATGACCACTCATGTTAAGACTGAACTTCTGTTTTTTCCAAAATTGTGCATGTTTTTCTGAACACCATTTATTAATCCTCTGTTTCTCCATATCTAGAATCTTCTTTATTATCAGCAGTATTTCACTTGAAAGCACAGTGCTTTCTTAATTTTGCTCAGGTGCACTGTACATTTTTTCAAAAGGAATAATAACTTGGTAGTTAGATGAAGATAGTCGAAATTTCATTCCAGTTAGACATCAGATCATTATCGTAGAGTTTTTCTGCTGAGAAGGAAATCCATGCCTATTAGCTCAATGCTTTGCATTTCTATGTTAATATTTCTTTGTATTAAAACAAATGACAATTTATTGTTTAAAAGGAAAAACATTAAACCAGCAATGCAGAAAAGATTTACTCTGAACAATTGAGATTGAGTTTTTTGGGGCAAAAACTGAATCTTCAGTCCACAGATTCAGATGCTTAAATATGCAATTTCCAGGACTTGCATCCATATACCAGCAAGGCAAAGGTTGCAAAGAGCAAAGTTTTTGTGAAAACCCCTTTCACAGAAAGAGATTTACTCTCTCTTAAATGGATTTTAACTCCTTTTGTGAAGTGCTGCTGCAAGTCAAGTTTTTTACTAGATTTTATTTTTTTTATGTAGACTTTCAAAAACTTTAGCTTGGCTGTGCAAGTCAAAAAAGACTAAGGATTCAAGTTCTGTTCTGAGTCCCTTTATTGTACACAAATACAATTACAATATTTATTTTGTATGTGTCCATGATAAAGAATAGTCAACACTGCAGGTTGAAAAGCCTGCCAGAGAGTTTTTAAAGTAGCTGTACCCACAGAAGACATTTGTTTAATGCAACATTCCTTAGCTTTATTTTTTTTTTCCACAAGCAAATTTCACATGTTCTCTTTAGACTTCAGTTTTTAAACAAATTAATGGAAACCCTGACTGATAAGTCTTGAGGGGAAGGTAAGATTATTGAATGATCATAACATAAGTCCTACATTTTAGAAGCCAGGCAGCAGTTTATCAAAAATCAGACTTATTTTAATCTGGGGTGGAGCTTTTGATAATGCTTTTAAGAAAATTATTTTTCCCCTTATGTGGTGATTTTTATTTTTTTTAATGTTTGTCATGTGTGCCCCTTGCAAAAATGACTTTTTCCTCAAATGTGTGTATAATCTTGTATGCATATTTTAAAACTTTTGTAATGGGTTGTGCTATCATTAAAGAAATATGTTCTTAGAACCTTATTGTATAATATATAGATGAAATCATTAAAAATAGATTTGACAGTCATGCTTGTTTTATATGAACTTATTCTTAATTTCATCCTGACGGTGCTGTGCATTTCTTACGTGTTAAATTCTAAGGCTATACTAAGTACTGTAAACAAGTCTAGAAAGTTGCAATAAACTGCAGCTTTTTCAAACGTTGCAACAAATTATGAATAGATAAATCACTAAATTGTGATTAATTTGATGTATTTTGGATATTTTTAGTCATGACGGATACAGATACAAGATGTTTAATTTGCCTTGCTACAGAAGAAAGATCTTCTATAGCGGCCCGTTTTACAAACAATCTGAAGAAGGTTTTGACAGAAGAGACTCTGTTTTCCAATTACAATCGCATGAAGAGGATGGCCAGGGTTGTCCATAATGTTTTTAATTTTAAGCATAATCCTTCTTTGCATCATCATCTCCACAGTCATTCCCAGAACAGAACCAGTGTTCTTGATAGGGTTATTAAACCAGTCAAATTATATCTGTGACGCTTCTCAGTCATCCAGGTCAAGATTAACCTTGAAAAGTTCAGTTAAACGTGAAGTTTTCTTGAAAATGTTTCGCCTCTCTTCCAGAAAGTTTCTTCAGTTAATGATGATGGGGAGCACCGAGATTTATATAGTGTAGGTGTAACAAAGTAATTAGGAGGAAAAACAAACAAAAGGTGGCTCTGGTCCCTCCTACTAGGTGGGCCTGGCGGAGTTTAATAGTTTTTAGGGGGTTTCTGTTGGGCCGTTAACTCCCTCGTCAGAGTGGTTTCAGTCACATGCCTCTTTGAAGTGTGAGTCAGGTGAAGGCAAATGAGAGGTGACTCTTCAGGGTATTGTTCCTAAAAGTGTTTTGTATGAAGGGCTTTGTAGTACTTTTTATGTGCATATGTGTGTACCCATGAACCCCTGATGACTTATTTTTGCACATCTAGTGACTTGTGAGAGAGTGTGTCTACCATGCCTACCACATGCATTATGCATGTTAGAGGTAAATGCTGACTGTTGTTCTTGGCTTATTTGTTTTTTAAATATTATTTTATTGTTGTGTTTTTTTTACATAGTTATATCTGCATGTGATGTGATTACATTTTCCTGTATGTATTTGCGTGAGCTGTGGCTGAAAAGGATTTGAATCCCTAATACTGAACACCACTGGGCCCATCAACTTGAAATCCATTGTTTGTCTCAACAATGTTCAGAAAAGGACTAAAACTGGACCTTACTGTTAAAAACAAGTTCATGCACAAGCATGGGGCTAGAGAGTCAAGGGAAGTTCCAAATATTTGCATGTTTAACATAGTAACGTTAATAGTTTCTTTATTTTCGATACATTAGTGTTCATTTGATATGATACCTGTTTAAACATTGTTATGAGGATGGTTTTAGATGTTTAAAGTGAATGCAAATATTTGTTTTTAGGTGATGACAGGCTCCTTGACACCTTGGAACAGCCGCAATCCCTGTGCCAAGGATTCAAAGCTCCCCTTGGGGCTTTGAACTGAGTAGAGAGAGTGACGTTCTTGTTGAGAGCCAGGGAGTATTTGATCAGTTTGTCAGTGAAAGATGGCACACCCCTTCACCGATCAAAGAGGTCCTTTTCACTTCTCAGTTCACATATTCTGCATCAAGTTCATAAGATGCCCTGTTCTTATGTTCTGATTCAGGTTTAATTTGTGCTTTTTTGTCCTGTGTTTTATTTACTGTTTTCAATTTATCTTGTTTTTAATTGTTGGAAATAGCTTTTGTTCAGTGTATCTTCAGGTCTTACAGGCATGGACATGGTATGATATCATTTGCAGCAGGTAAGATGGCACCCACTATCTCACTGTACTCCTCAACAACTGTCTTGTGCCAGTAAAGTTTTGTAAAGGTTGCGTAATGATATTATTATTAATAATAGTAATAATAATTATAACTTTGATTCATATCGTGCCTTTAAATAAAAACCCAAGGTTAATTTACAGTGAGAAATAAAAGATGAATAAAGGAGATACTGTTCCTAGTAAATTGGCTGTTCAGTTTAACAATTGATTCCACCTATTCCACCTTGGAGTGTGGCTATCCCTGCCACCCATTACTTTTTCACAGCTGATGGATATGGTAGCAAAAATTAATTTACCTCTTTTGATAAACGAAATTCATAGGTGCTTCCTCGAGTTGTCTTATAATAGAACCTGGAAAATTACACTTTTCTTTTGAAAGTACCTGTCTGTCGTTAGGTTTGTGATCAACACTGACACCCTGATTCCTGAGCTGCTCCAGCAGCTGAATTGGCTATGAATATGAATTTAACTGATTTTTTCATGTAATTAAATTTTTATTTAATTGGAGTTGATTGGGCTATAATTACTTGGAGTTGGACTGGATTATTAAACCACCTCGATATTAAATTTGTTGTGATTTAGCGCTACATAGATCAAATTAAATTGAATTGATTGTTAATGTTCTTGTTTTTTCTTGAATATTTCAAAATTCTGCTACTAAATTCTGCCCCTGGAAATTAAAAGAACCTATTTTGTTCATCTATGTCTGTCTGTCATGTCTGACGTTTGACAAACCTTGTAAAAATAGCTTGACAACTGTTCGATTTATGATCACTTTTATTGTGCAAAAAAAAACATTCCTCAATGGATATAATGTACTATAGGAGCAACCAGAACTGTACCAAGATGGCCCCCCTGTAGGCACGTCCTTTTAGTGGTCGGGAGGAGTCAATGAGTAGTCTACGTACTATATGTCTATGGATATAAGCCCTTTCAAATGTTTTATGTCTAGAGACTGCCAGAGTGAGTAAAGGAGTTCAACAGTTACAGCAGGATTCACTGTGAAAGAAGAAGTCCTGGTATGACCCATTGGTAAACATAGGTAATTGAATTTTCCTCTTTCTGCAACTGTCATAGCTGCAAAAAGGTACTGTTCAGTGGTGTTTGGTATTCAAAAGACTCTTGTCAAAGACCTTCAACTACAGGTTGCAAGTTTCTCCGAGCATTTGTCGAAAATGTCAGGATAAAACACTGTAAGCTATTTTTGTGCTTGAGTTTTTTTATTCGGACAGCAGTGTGTTCAAAACATTGTTGGCCATTCCATGTGCTGTCTGCTCTGACAAGATGAATGAAACAACAGATTGGATTTCATCATTTTTACATTTTCCATTTTTTCCATCCAGAACCGGGATGACATACTTGCCTGTCCAGAGAACTCTGGACTCTCTTAGGGCAGAGTTATCTGCCCTTTCGCCTTTTACTTCTCCCAATAGCAGAATTAAGATAGAACTCTCAGCTTTTACTTCTTCTGACATTGATAATGCTGCTGGACTACTGGGAGACACTCAGAGTAGGCTCTTCATCACCATCTCATCCATGGCCATGGCGTCTCAGGTATTTGAGTTAAAGAGGATGGATGAGGAATCACAGCTTCCCACCAGCCAAGGATCTCCTGCGTTTCCTCAGGAAGACATTGAGATGAGAGGGGATGTTTATGATGACTGGGTACTTTCAAGTTTTATCAAAGCTGTAAAAACTGCAGCGCTCCATCTGCTTAACATCACAATCAAAATGTTCCAGGAAGAATACTGCTACAGTTGTTTGTTGAATCATCCCAGTTAATAGATGCCTCAGTTTAAGGAAGGTCTCAAGGATGACTTCTTTCAACATCACTACTATGGTTTGATGTAGAAACGTCATAATCAACAGTTCATTGCTTTAATTGCTTGCCATTCAGAAGCTCTTAAATCCTCACAACATTCATGACGAAAACATATGGGTAAATGCGGTGGCAGAAGCTTACTTGTAAGAATCAGCATTAGCCAGGAAAAATCTACTCTCCTACTCAAGAAATGTATGAACAGTGAGTTGTTTCTGTCAGGGTTAAATGAGAGTATTTAGATTTAGTTTCTATCTTTTTTCTATTATCATAAAATGACTGTATTGAGTTTCTATATATTTTTTATTGTTAAATGAGTATATTAAGTTAATTTTGATTTAGTTTCTGTCATTTTATTAATCTCCAAAATGAAAATGTTTTCATCTGCTTACTCTCAATTGTAATGAGTACCAGTTTACATTCATTCATATTTCCTAATTATCTTTATAAAATTGTTTAAAAAAATTGTGACCATAAAATAATACAACAAAATCCAACTGCAATTGTGCTTTCTCTCATTTTATTATCAACATGCATAAGCAGGTATAGCAGGAAAAAACTGAATAGGATATCACAAACTCTCCCACCCAGGTAGTTTGTTGTAATTAAAAACCTGTGTGATTGTTTAAATACATTAACCACACTGCAAAGTTTTGCAAAACTGTACACCAAGCATGGGGCTACTATAATATCAATAATACCAATAATTAAAATCTTTGTAAATGATTGTGTAGTGGCCGTGGGGGTAAGGAAAGCTTCAGTTTACATCAGAAGTCAGAAATCAGAAATTGTTTTAATGACCAAATGTACACAGGAAGAACACAGAAATTTGACCTGGTATCCAAATGCATTAGGACAGTTTTAATAACTATTTGAACAAATGGAAAGAAAAGGTAAAGTGTCTGTAGGAGTGGCTGGAGGTTTCAGACATCCTTATTTAAGAGGGGTAGTGGCCCGGGGGAAAAAACTGTTCAGGTGCCTGGTGGTTCTGATCATGATGGATCTGAACCTTTGACCTGATGGGAGGAGTGTGAATAAGGAGTGAGCTGGGTGAAATGGGTCTTCCACTATCCTCCTAGCCCTCTGCTGGGATCTACTATTGTGCAGAACACATATAGGCTCCTGTTGCAAGCCTGTGACGGGACTCACTGTACACACGATGTGCTCCAGTCTGTTTTTGGTCTGGGCAGAGGATGCAGGGTACCACACAGTGATGGAGGAGGTGAGGACACTCTGAATGGTGGATCTGTGGAGCGGACCATGTCATATTGCGGAGAGGTCTGAAGAAGAACATCCTCTGATGGCTTCATGGACAAGTGTGTCTCCCACTTGAAGTCGCTGGTGCCCAGGAACTTCACAGACTTCACCACCTGAACAGCGGAGCTGTTGATGAGAAGTGGGGGGTGGAGGGGCGGTTGCCTGCCGAAGTCTATGACCATCTGTACTGTTTTGTAGTTGCATGTACACCACATTGCCAGCTGTGACACCATGTCCCTGTATGCCATTTTATCGTTGTCCTTTATGAGGCTCAGGACAGTGGTGTCAATTGATGAGTGGCTGGTGAGGCAAACCTGCAAACAGAATTCAATGTAGGAACATACGGTGTTGGCGAAGCAGCCACCGCCATCCTCAGGGCCTCTCGGTGACTCCCAGTCTTTAATGCAATCCTGAAGCATGTCAATTGGCTCTAGAGTCCACCTCCTCACTGTAGTCCTGGATGGTTTGGACTTTTTCAGTTGCTGTCTGTATGTGGGGACCATCTGGGGTGGAGGGGGGCACACAATTATTTAAAAAACATCTCCATGGAAGTCAGCACAGATATAGGTAAATGCCAACATCATGAACACATGTGGGCGGTAGGGATGTGGAGGAACACACTTGTGTGTCTGTATGTGTAAGTGGGCAGAAAGGTCATTTCAGTTCACAGTCACTTGATGGAATTTGTCATTGTGAGGCAGACGCTCCTAGGAATGGGGTGGGGCAGAGCATCCGTCAGCAGTTTCATACAGGGCAAAAGTTGCTGTAAAGAAGCTCCAAAGCTGCACTTCGGGGAGTGTTAACCCAATGCTTTAGTTGGAAACCTGAGAATAAACTGGAGTATATCAAGAGTAAAAAATGTAAATTTATTGGATCACAGTCAAAGTATTTCGGCGTTGGGCGCTTCACAGATAAACCATTTCTCTCAGGGTCTCAGTCGGCCAAGAGCCCCGAACTCCGTGTGTAATAGGTCTTTGTCTCCTGGGCTGGTTACAACCCTCAAAGAATGACTGGACACAATTGAGGCCTATTGGCTAGTTACCTCTGAGACTAACGAGCCAGGTCGTAATTCATGTAGATTACATTGGAATGTGGTAACAAATGGTGTGTGTTGACCTAAAGACGTGGATCTAATGCAACAGAGAAAGAAAAGGAGGGAAGGGAAAAGACAGAGGAGAGAGTCTGTATTCACAGCCAGAGACTTCAACACAAAATTATCGTTCTATGGTACACTACTGAAACCCGCAAATTAAAGCAGATATCTCGGAAACTTAAGAAGAACTGGCGTTCAACCAAGCTGGAAAAGTCTTGTTTATCTCGGCAAGATAGTCTTAAAGCTTACAGGAAGGCCCTCCGTGATGTCAAATCAGCATATTACTCATCTTTAATTGAGGAAAATAGGAACAATCCCAGGTTTCTTTTCAGCCCTGTTGCCAGGCTGACTGAGAGCCACAGCTCTATTGAATCAAGTACTTCAATAGCTCTCACTAGCCATGACTTCATGAGCTTCTTTAACGATAAAATTCTAGCTATTACAGGGCCGCAGCCGTAGCCTAATGGCTAGAGCGGGCGGCCCATATACAGAGCCTTTGCTCGCAAGCGGGCGGCCTGGGTTCGAATCCAGACCTGCGGGCCCTTTCCCGCAGGTCTCCCCCTCTCTATCTCTGCCCCCTTTCCTGTCAAGCTACTGTCATTAAAGGCCACTAGAGCCAAAAAAATCTTTAAAAAAAAAAATTCTAGCTATTACAAACAAAATTCACCAGACTTGCCCTCAATTGGCATCGACTTATCTCTAAACTCAGTAACTGTTGGACCAGAACCAGTTATACGTTTCCCTCAATCTTTGTCAACTAACTTCAATAATTTCTTCATCCAAACCTTCAACTTGCCTCTTGGACCCCATCCCGACTAGGTTGCTTAAAGAAGTCCTACCCTTAGTCGGTACTTCTTTGCTAAATGCGATCAATCTGTCCTTATTAACATGCTATGTGCCACAGTACTTTAAAGTAGCTGTAATTAAATTAAATTTCGAAAAAGCCTAAACTGGACCCAGATGTTTTAGCCAACTATAGCCCTATATCTAACCTTCCATTCATCTCCAAGGTCCTGGAGAAAGCAGTAGCCAAACAGCTGTGTGACTATCTACATAGC